ACTAACAGTAGTTGTTGTTTGTTAATTATGGAAATTAAATGTTATTTAAAAGGTCGTAAATGTAAAAACAGAAAACCTGATAATTATTCTAACTTGTAAATTGAATCATTGATCCAAAACAAGATCCTTTATTTTCTCCTTTGTTTGTGCAGCACTGGAGGAGATCGTCATCAGTGACGATGAGGAGGCCGTGGTTCGCTCGGCGCAGGAGGAGGAAGACGAGGCGTTGGCTCGAAGCCTGCAGGTAGGATCCTTCACCTGCAGACCAACCACTCACCTGTACCGAGTGGAAACCTCATCATGTCTCTGTCACTCACTCAGGCCCAGTTCGACCAGGAGGAGACACACAGCAGACACCAGCACCACCTCCATCATCATCATCTTCATCAGCAGAGCCACCACAGGGTGAGTCAGCGTCACATCATCTGTTCCATCACAGGCTCTCACATGTAAAGTGCTTCAATAACTGAGCTGCTGTCCTCTGCAGTATTACTCCTACATGGAGCACAGCTGGATGTCTCACATGCTGGCTGCTGTCTCTCCGCTGGTCGGCTTTGAAGACGGTGAGATCATAAACTAAATTATTATTATTATTAAAACCCTCTAAACTAACATTTAAAGTGACAGTACTTTGAGAGGAATCCAGTGTTAGAGCAGCTGCAGTTTCCCTCGTTATGAGATTATTAGGAGTCGGTTCATGAGATGAACAGTAGGTGGCGCCAGAAGAACAGATTGTAACAAGACGACATAAATTAAAGTGAATTCTACGGAAGCCTTGAAGGCAAATTATTATTTGTTTTTTATTCTGTGAAAACATGAAATTTAAACAAATGTCAAACTTATTTTTCTCTGAATTGGATTGTTTTAACTGTGAACTTTAGAAGATTTATCGTGAAGCAGCAGGTTGTAGCGTTAAGTGAACAGGAAACGGTGACGCTGACGAGAACAAATGTCGCTTCCTGCCGATCCCTCGCCTGTGAGTGTGAGACGACCTGCAGGTTTAGTGTGTGCGTATTTAAACTGATGGTTCTTCACACAGATCCGATTGGTCAACACAGGAGACGTGGCCGGGGCCGACGGAGGAACGCCCCGCTAGAGTTTTCAACAAACCTTCAGGGAAACGACTACGAGGTGAGGAAGAGGACGAGGAAGAGGAATGTTTTTATTTAGCAGATTTAAACCGACGCTGACCCGTAGAACTGCTGATGTCGTCTTTAGGCTCTGCTGGAGTTCGAGGAGCGTCAAGGAGCCGTCGTGTCCAAAAAGTTGAGCCGGAGGGAAATCCAGAGGTTTCCCACCAAAACCTTCAAGTCTGCCAGCGGCGCCGGAAACACTCAGTGAGTCCAGCAGCTGGTCTGAGCTGGACCAGGACCTCAGAGTCTACTGTCTGCTGCTGTCTGTTCTGACCTCTGACCTTCTGCTGATTGACAGGTGTCAGATCTGTTTCTGTGACTACACTGACGGGGAGAAGCTGAGGATGCTGCCCTGTTTCCATGACTACCACGTCCAGTGTATTGACAGATGGTTAAAGGTAACACGCGTTACGTTCCCGCCACAAACACAGCCAGCAGTTTCTAGAGTTACGTGTTGTTACGAACACGTTAGGAATGTTAATAATGTGATATTTCTTAAAGGGAGTTTGCGTGCAGGCGAGCTATTTTAGTTGGATTCAAACTGAAACCTGCATATGGATGCGTTGTCCAATAAGCGTTTTAGATCTCACTTACAGAAACGACGAGCCTAACCTGATAAAGGCTGATCAGGTTGATTGATGCTTTAATGATGAGAGTATTGATTAGTGACTCTGGCTTTATGCTAGTTGGTTCGGACTTTAGACGCTGTAGAAGCACCGGACTGCGATCTTTACCTCGATCCCACACTGACGGTTTCTTCCTGGATGATCACCAGAATGAAACTCTTAAAGAACTCGTGCTGTGGCCTCGTACTCTGACTGAGCTAGTTTGTTGTTTTACAGGTTTATAATGAACAGGTTAAGAGAATAAGACTGTTTTCCACCGACAGGATAACCCCACGTGTCCGATCTGCAGAGCCAACCTGGCTGACGGGGACTGCCTCGCCCCCCCGGCCTCAAACCTCTGACGTCCTCCAGAGACAGACGGGTTGGCGCTCTCGTCCCGCCAGTATTTGAAGGACCATCACCTCACAACTTGTCTTTTTTATACTTTTATTTGTTTTCTCTCTGTACTGAATCAGTGATTCTGTTTTTGTCTCGAGGGGACGGCGTCCGCTGTTTGCAATAAATTCAAAGATTTTTTTCCTCTTATGTTTGTCTCGTACTTCCAGCAGGACGAATGGGTCCTGTGGTTTCTGCCAGTGTGAGTGTCTGTTACTCTTCGTAGTAGCGTTTCTTCATGGCTCTGTACTTCCTCAGGTAGTAGAGCGCCTCCAGCTCTCGGGCCACGTACTCCCCCCGACCGATCATCTCCTTGATCTGCTCCGGGTCCTGCACCGATCTGTTTTTGGCGAACGCCGCTCTCAGACGGTCCCTGAAGTAGTCGGCTCCTTTGGGGTACTCCCGCCCGAGGTAGAGGAGCTGTGGAGGAAGGAGAGCGTTGTTCACTCAGGAGGAAGAAAGTTTCTCTTGGTATGAAAGAGAATCTTTTCTTTTCCAGGTTTCAGCAGTTCAGGACAGTCGTATCATTTACTGATCAGCCTCATAATGAGCCAGTTTTAAGGTTCATAATAAAGTGTTTCAGGGTCTTTACGGCGCTGAAATAAAAAGGGAGCGTTAACGTTTTCCCTCCAGTAAACCGGCTTTAAAGAGTCACACTGTGCAGTTTCAGACAAAATACAATGAATATTCTCCAGGACATGGCCGACTCTTTCCAGGATCTTTGGTCTTTGTAATCGATTTACAGGCGTTTCCAAGACGGAAAAACTCGTCTCTAAATTTCGATTCCAGAAGATGTGTGGGAACAGACAGAGACATGTTTGATCTTTTGTTCTTTTCTGGAAATTCTGAGACTTATTTTTCAGTCACAAACACCTGAAACTGAATAAAAAGATCAAAAATCCTGGAAATAATCTAAAAACTTTGTTAAAAATGAGTTTGGCCTAAAATGTGGAAATGAGATCATATTTAATGATACACAACTCATTTATAGAATTTAAATACGTTGTATTTGGGTCCACATTAATCTTTTACCGTCAGTTTCATCCTGATGGAATTAAAGGATTTATTCCCGCTGGTTAATGAAACTAACGCCGCTGGTTTCACCATTAAATCACATTCAGACGACGATCAGGAGTCTGATACAAACATTTCATCCAGAATCAAAAAATACAGACTCACATTTTTATAAAGTCGGACCACTTCAGCCCTCAGAGGGTTCGCCATCGTCTCAGGGGAGGAGGAAGAGGAAGAGGAGGAAGAGAAGGGGGCTGAGCTGCAAAACAGACAACCAAGTTCACATTAATCTTCAGAAAGTACATTTACTGAACAATACCTGGACTCTACTTGGAAACATTATATTGTACTTTTTACTCCGATAGCTTTAGATTCTTCTACAGACTCTAATAATGATGGTAATAAAAATGATTTACAGTGTAAAAAGAAGTTAAAATGAGCTCCATCTTTATATAGAAAATAATCAATATATATATATATATATATTAGTAGAATAATAGATTTGTACACTGTGTGGAGCCGGCCCTCCCTATAAGCCAAAGAAGCTGCTGTTAGGACCCCGCGGCCCCCAGGGGCCCCAAACTCGAGCATTGTTTGTTAATTTGACCACACAAATGTTCCAATCTGTGCTGCTGAAGTCTCCAAAGAGTTCCTCCAAAAATGAAGAAAACAACCGGAGAGCGGTTTGCTGAATTTAAAAGAGGACAAACTATTAAATGTGTTGTAAACGTTGTTTCATAAAGTTTATTGTACTGTTATATATGTGAGCCTGTGTGTGATTCTTTAAGGACAGAAACAGAATAACAAACAGCACAACGAGCTCAGCAAAATAAACTACTGAGTGTAGATATAAACAAACAATAACATTTGTAAACAGCGCAAAGGACGCTGGGATATGTATTTTAGTGGATTCAGTAATATGAACAATATGCAGAGAATAAACTACAGTGGATGTTTGAGTTACTGCAGAGAAACAGTGTTAGTTAAATATGTGTATTTATACTGACACTGATATTAATAACTAGTCATTCTGAGAACTTCCTCACTCATTAAACTGCTAACAGCTGTCAGTGGACGATGAAAGGAGCAGAAATATCAACATAAAGTTCAGCTTCAGTGTATTAATGTTATGAATGTTACTGCGCTTTATAATCAGAGAGAAGAGTCTTACCTGTCGGATGACCTCTGCTCTCCGCAGCAGCTGCTCCAACGTCGGCTCAAAGTTCAAAGTTCAGTTTGTGAGTTAGCGAGCAAGCTAACAGTGCTAACGGCGGTTAAATGTGCTAAAAGAAATAAAACTGAGTTTGTTTAAAACTGACCCGAGGTCAGCGGCAGCCTCATCAACAGTAACGTTAAACGGTAGCTTTATATTTTAACGTTTTCTAACGAGCTCAGAAAGTAAACAACCAAAGAGCAGCGCACGCAGAGATAGTAATCCCCCAAAACGGACAACAAACGCTTCCGTACATGCGCACAACTGCTTAGAGAGCAGCAGTGAATTTCGTGTTTTAAAGGATTTTTATAACCTTTATAAGGTAGCAAAAACTATATTCTATAAATAAAATGGAGGAAGATGTTATTATGATTGTTATGTCGTTTTATCAATAACTATACAGATACTAATAACACTAATACATATTTATATGGAAGCTCAAAGTTTGACCTTAAAGTGAAAATGATGAAATGAAAAAGTCATAATTATGATAAAAAAGTTGAAACTATAAGATAGAAAGTCATAATTATGAGATAAACTAATTAGTATAATTATAGATTTTTATCTCATCTCATTGTATTTTCTTTATTTTACTTGCAGAAACAGGCTCCCATACCTTCAGGTGTTTGTCATATTGTGCATGTTGGTACAATGAGACATTTAAGTCAAGCACAGCCATCATTATTATTTATTCCACCTCACTTTTCCCCTCAAGTTAAAATAGTGGAGTACGTCAGTTTGAGATCTCTGCCTTAAGGAAGCTCTCTTCTATCAGAGTAAACGACTGAGTGACATATTTAATGGATATTTCAGATTATATCAACAGTAAAGAACAACTGTGAACACAGTAACTGCAGGAAGTTTCAGGTATTGTTGACAATATAGGACAGCATTGAGCTGCAGTTTCAGGTAATGAAGTATTAATCAACCTAGGGGACAAGAAATCTGATCAGTAATAGATTAATGTGTGCGTGGAGAATGGATGCTGAAAGATCAGTGCAGTCAGATAAACCCACTCTGAAGTGTTTATCCTAACAGCTGAGTATATATCTGAGTGAATACTAACATTTCCAGGTGTTTCCAGGACCGGAAAACCTCTGAATTCCCAGATTGAGTTTGTTTGTTTGAGATTTGGATGAATTTCCAGCAGTAGATTTGTGTTTCAGATTAAATTTTGTTAAATAAAACACGAGTTCTTGTTTTATTTTCAATACGAATCTTCTTTATTCTTTAAAAAAGATGGAGGCACACACGAAGCAACCGGCTGCTGATGTAAGAAAACGTTGGTCTGAAGGATCAGACGGACGTTTTGTTGCATCATCTGTTTGTTCTTCAGCTACAGAACAAGGCACTCGCGCTGCGGCGCTGCTCGACCTCCGCAGACTGAAGGGGGCGGTGGTGGACAGAGTCCTCAACCAGCAGGCAGCAGAGTCCAACAGGGAGGCAGCTTCCTTTGCTCTGGCTCTATTCTGACAGAGTTCAAACCACATCCCAAACCCGGGACCAGAACCTTCTCTGACCTCAGCGGGGGAGGGGATGCGGTCTGGGGGAGGCTGAACTCGGTGGGACAGTTACAGAACCGTTGTGGATCGGAGGGTCAGTAGTTGGTCTTCAGCCTGCGATTCTCCTCTTTCAGCTTCTCGATCTCCTCCACCAGAGACTCGTTCACAGAGTATTTCTCAATCAGACCGTGGATCTCGTTCTGAAAGAGAGCGCGAGTTCATCAACAACTTAAAGGAGACTCATTCTGTCTAAACCCTACGTTGGCGATTTGAAGCTCTGAATGTTTTATCAGAACAAGCTTTAGGTTGAAAATACGATTCACTGATTACTGTACAGAAGTTCAACTTCAGTGGTTTTGGTGAAACTGGATCAGGTTTTATTTTATATTTCCTGGTTTTCCCTCTGACGTCCTCCGGCTGCTCAGCTTCAGATAGCTTTACTTGTTGTTAGGGGTTAGCCACAGTAGCAACAAGTAAAGTCCATTAGTAAAGTCCATAAACCCCTAAGAGTTGAGGAGGAGAGGTCGGTTTCTTTCTTTAAAAAACATTTAAAGAAAGAAAGAAACAATGAATAAAAACCAGTGAACGTGGACTGTTAACGGGCTGCAGGAAGAAGCTGAAACAGAAAATGTGTGATGTTCGTACCAGCTGGATGTAAAACTGTCGGACCATCTCGACCTGCAGGTTGACGATGTCTCTGTGACAGGCGTCCCTGAAGAGGAGGAGCAGACTCATCAAAACCATATCATACTCAACAGTTTGTGCTGGAAGCCTTTAAAAGGAGTCAGGGACGAACCTGAAGTCCTCCAGAGTCTCATGGATCATGTTCTGGATGAAGTGGATCTGCAGGGAGGTGAGAGGAGCAGCTCCTGCCTGTCCCACCACGTCAGCGATGTTCTGGGAGAGAGAGGAGGAAACAGCCGCCGACAGAGCCGGACCTGAAGGTACAGACCAACAATCAGAAACCGTACGAAAGGTTTCCGTAGCTGACGTAACTAAACACTGTAATTTAACGTTTGACAGCCTCGTCAGCTGCAGCGCCGCCGCCGTTCTCTACCTGCTGGAGCTCCCTGTAAAGGGGAGTCGTAGCTCAGCTGGGTCTGAATACTGTTGGCTCTCCTCAGGCCGGGTTCTGGAGTGAAGAAGGGCGGGGCCGGCTGACTCTGATTGGTCTGCTGGGATGATGTGGGCGGAGTCTGAGCCTCGCCCTCCACACTGGAGCTGCTGGCCTTGTCGGACTGTCAATCAAGACCAATGTTTTAAAGCGGCGCTGTTACATGACATTGTACTGAGTCATATCATGCAGATCATTTCTATACAGAGTGAGGTCAGAGGTCAGAGGTCAGCACCTTTCTGGAGTCACATGGTTCAGCTGCTGCGGCAGGGATTGGCTCCTCCTCTTTGATTGGGGGAGGGGTCTGGAAGACGGACAGCGGGCTGTAGCATCGCCCTGCAGAGGCTACCAGGGGCGTCCCCAGGGGGGTCTTCCGGTGCGAGTTGGCACCTGAATGAGAGTCTGAGACAACAACAGTTCACCAGCTCTTATTTGCAGTAATATTGATCATCTAGATTGTTTTGGTGTGAATGGATGAATACATTGTTCAGTTTACAGTTAACTAGTCTGAATTTAAATTTCTGTTTAATCGACAGGGAAAGTAGTTGTCGGGAACATCCACAATATTAAGTAACCAGGTATTCATTTCTGGAAGGAGACACTGCTGTTTCTAAAATGTGCCGTCTGATAAATAAAATAACAATAAAATAAGCTACACGTCAGAGGAAAAGATTTATTATTTCACTCCTCACACACTACTTTTAAAACAAACGCAACACCTGGAAACTCCGAGGTGGAGTTTAAGAGTTGAAGGTTTCAGGCACAATAAAACCAACAGAGTGACCTCTGACCTTCTCTGACCGGGGAGAAGATGTCCAGACTGGCCCGACCTATGACCTGCTGACCCTCCCCTTCTCTGGACAGCATCTCCAAACTGGAAACTATGGAAACACAGAATCAGTTAGTCCAGAAGCATTCAAACCAACTTGTGTTAAACTTGAGGGACTTCCTGTCGTACCGTGCGTTCTTCCAAACGGCGTGTCTCCAGACGTCCCCTGGGTCCTAGAGTCTGGACAGAAAGAAGAGTTTCACTGTGTTTAATCTGTGACCTTTCAAAGAACTCAAACTAGCAGGGTTCAACGAAGTTAACGTGTACAAAGTGGCACTTTGCAGTCTCTACGTGTGTTTTGGGGAAACATTATTGATCGGTCTCTACAGAACCAAATCGACATGGAACCAGTGCCAACCAATATGCTTCAGATTGTTTTTACCAGTATGGAAGTGAAATATGTTTTAACCTGTTGAAGCACTGTTACAGGAACTCTCAGTACTGACACCAACATTATATTTGTTGAAGAATATAAACAAGCTTTCTGTTCCTTTTGTTGTTAAATGTTTCATACAAAAAACCGTCACAGTTTCAGAGAACGTTGTCGGGACAGAGTTTCAGGTTTCTGTCCACCTGGATGGAATTATTTATTCATAACATCCACCCATTGATCCATCTGCTGTCTGTTAGCTGGGATCAAGTGTTTGAGGGCGAGCCTCTGCAAAAGGATTGCTGGTTGAGGCGGCAGATTATGGACTATGATTCCGGTCAGAGAATCACTAAACTAAATATTCATCATTAAGTCCTCACAATCCAAA